AAACTAAAGCCTGTCCTCCACCCTGCATCGTTGGTTTCTCTGCTCTGCCACCTGAACACAACACTAGCCTCTTCAGGTGATTTCTCCATCACACTCTCTCCCTGGGTCACAAGGTCAAACCTGTGTTTTGGAAGTAGTGCTCCAGAGGCTGGGATTATGACAGAAAGGGCCCTCTGTCCCATGGGCCCATCTGCCCAAGGTGATTCATTCCCATGTCACATATTTCTAAACTCTTGTCCTTGCCATCCCCGAAGTTTTCCTAATCCCGTCTGGCCAGTTCCTCAACAAATTCCTCTGCAGCTTTGCCCCATGTTCTCTGGGAACAGTGTACTGGCATCACTGGGAACAGGGCCAAAAGTGAATTGTCACCTCTTCCCAGGAGAGAGAGCACAGCTGTTCTCCACAGGGGATGCCTTGTGGCCGCTTCTGGCACTGATGTCCTAACCAACGTACAGAGAGATAAGTCTCCCGGGGCCTGGCTCCTGGTCCCCTTCTCTCCTGCAGAGCATTTCATTTTTCCTTCTTCCCAATCAGTTCTTCCTCTGGAGTCAGCAAATTCACCAGGATGTCAACTTTTGGGATTTTAAAAATACTGATAAGATCATTAAACAATTGGACAATTTTTGCTATGTTGGTAAAATCCCACGATACTTGCTGATAAAATTTAAATGTTGGGATATAATTTATAAGAGAAGATGCCATGAACCTGTACTGCAGGCCCTGGGCTCTATGTGACCTATTAAATGTGTATTTTCGTGCCTACTTGGGTGCCCCTGCAGACCTTGCACTGAGCTGCAGGATCCCCCCCTTCTAGGTACCACCCATTACTTCCCAAGCTCCTGGCTCTTTCCTCCAGACTCCCAGCCCCAAGCATGGTAGGAAAAGAAAGGGGGAGCCTGAGAGCCCCATGAACACCCACACTCCCTTGTGCCCCACTCTCTAGCCCACTTGCTATTCCCCTGCCCTGCATCACTCTTAATCTGTCCTCACCACCTTCTTGGAACCCAGAGCATTTTGTACCCAAAGGTGCAATTTTCCTCCAGGCTCCCTACATATCTTCAACCCCTAAACCTGGTCCTTCACTAAAGTAGCCCGGCTTAGGGACCCTGGCTTAGGGACCCAAGCATAGATGAGACATTATTAGGCACTTGGTGTTTTAGTGGAAAACCACTGAGCCGTCCTGTTAAGTAGGCAGGTGCCTGGAAGCAAATACTGGCTGCATTGGAGGCCAGAGCAGGCCATGGTCACCTCTGTTGGGGTGGCCAGGGGCCAGAGGATGTTCCTTTCTGGTCGAAGTCCCCATTGAAGAGGTGGTCACCAGGTGGTGGTTAATTGAGAGGGTGATGCATACCAAAGACACCATCTGGATCCTTGTCCAGAGTTGCCAGTTCCATGCAGGAGCAAGGAGCTGGAGCAGGGACATCCTGCTGGGAGAACAGGGGTGTCCATCCTCTCTCAACAGCCCTTCCCACTGGCCCCTCTGTGGATGGGTTCCAGGGTGGCTCCACTTCTGTGAACTCCAGAAGAACAGGCGGGTCTCTCTCATTCCATTGTTTCTGTTGGGAACTCTTGTCTGAGTTCCAGACAGCTGGATTTCAGCACTGCCACCCTTGTCCCCAAGAGCCAGCCTGGCTTCTGACTCTGCCTTGGGGGCTGGGGATCTGGCTTTCATGAGACTTTTGGGGGTTTTTTTCTTCCGTTATGTGTGGTTTTCCCCTCAACACCACCCCCTACTTTTCTTATTCTTTTTTGAAGTCCACGATCTTGGGATTTCCCACTTTGGAGCTATTTAGACAGAAATAGGATGCTGACAGGAGCCACCAATAAAGGATTCCTGTCCTCGAGGAAAGCTGGCTGGGTGGCCCTCAGTTCCTATCCTGAGGGCTGGTGGCCAGCAGTATTGAAACTCGGGGAGGAGGAATCTGGGGCTGTGGCCACAGAGCCTGCATCTGGACTGTGTGTCCCTCAGCCATTGCGGGCAGCAGCTGGCCCTGTGGCTGGGCTCTGCCTGCCCTTCCTTTTGTATCTCTTGAGTCTTGGAGCCTGCTGAGGCCGTGGTTTTCTAGGCCTTCACACGGTCTGACTTTCCAACCAGAGCCATGTAACCAGAGCTCTGGATGCCTGGGCTTAAGCAGATTGGACAGTCCCTCTGCCGTCCTTGCCTATGGGAGGAAGTTGGAGGGAGTGGGGAAATCCTAAGAAGTAATAGTTATGGCTCCCAGAAGAGAATGACCAGCCTTCACCCCCTGGGCCTGCTGAGTCTGTCCTTTGAGACAGAGCTCCGTTACTGATCAGTACACACCGCCAGTGTTTCATGACAGGCCTGGGCACAGCAGTTGGACAGACTTGAGTCTGAACTTGGTCCCTGGAGCTTGTGTAAATGTCTTCGCCTTGCCAAGCCTCAGTTTTCTCATCTGCACAGATGGGTATTCCCACCAGCTGTGGGGGAGGCTGAGAAGTGCTAGTGTCATGGGTTATTATGAGGACAAAGTGAGATAATGCAAAACTCTAGTGTGCTGGGCCTGGAGCCCAATGAGTGCCCCTGCCTGACCCGAGATGAGAGGCCTGTCCCCTTTCTTCCTGGTCCAAAACCACCTTAAGGAGCTCACCATGAAGTGAAAAGAAAGCAGGGGCCTCACCTCGCCCCCTGTCCTGGGGCCTCTACTGAATCTGTGCTTGAACAGGATGGCCCAGCCAGGGCCTCGGGAAGATGTTTTCCATGGGAACGTGAGTGTTTAGAAAGGAACTATTCTTCTCGTATTGCTCAAATTATGAATAAAAACCTCAGTGCCTTTCATCTGTGGGACGTGGTGGTTTTGCAAACTTTAATTAATTCCCCAAACACCTTGGTGAGTCTGGCAGCTGATGGCTGCTTACAGGTGAGGAACTGAAAGAGGGGAAGCCGCTTGCCCCCAGGCTGAGGGAACGGCTGCAGAGCACACCCTCTTCTTCCTGGAGAGTTGGTGTTTGTGTTCCAGAGGCTGACGTGGAGCCCAGGAACTGGGCTGTGTTTACCTTGACTGACAGGGTACGGGGCAGGGAAGGAGGCGTGAAGATCATTCATTAGTTCAGGGACAGTTCATGACAGGCCAGTCACGTTCCCCCTGGAGAGGCATCTGAGGCATCCCCTGAGTCGTTCCTTGGTATGATGAGGGGTCCCTGGCTGACTGGAGCCCAGAGTGGTTTCTGGCAATGCTGACATAAAGTCAGGAGAAGCCTGTTCCCTGGCTTCCAGCGGCAACCTCTACAGCTCTTCCTGGCTGCAGCCAACGTACCTTGCTGAAGCACCTGATATGTGCCGTCCAGACTTACCCTTTGAAATGTGTCAGGGGAATCCTAACAGGCTAAGTCACAAAGTGAGCATCTGTGGGGCCACAAGAAAGAATTGCACGGAGATGTGTGAGATTTTACTCATTTTTGCCTCCTAATGCCCTTGTCCCACCCTAAGCTTGGCCCAAATATTTGGTGCAAGACTCTGTAGCCATATTTGGGAAGGGTACGCCAGACCTGGGCACTAAAAGCAGTTGGAAGCACTCATATGAGAGTAGGTGCTCTCTCTGTTTCAGGTGTGTTTTCCTCTGAGAGTTAGGACTCCTGTGTCCATGCCCTAAGTGAAGAGAGGCAAGGAGTTCCCATAGCCAGCCTGGTGGGGGTTAGGAGGGTCCTGTGCTGTGGCAAAGTAGCCAACAGGACATTTCTTTGTTGTTGTTGTTTTGTTTGTTTGCTTTCGGTGCTGACTTGCTGCATCTTCCTTGGGCTAACCTGTGTGGCCCAGCCCCTCTGCATGGTCATGGGGATGACTTTCTGCATTTCAGTTTGGGGAAGCTAATTCGTGCTAATTGCAGAACTCAGAAAAATTTCCTTCTTCATTGGAGTTTTGCTGCTCTGTTTCCAGAAACCTCTGAAGTGTAACTTGAGGGTATATAAGGTCATTTGTGGCCAGGAGTGACTTTGCAGGTCACATAGAGCCCCACACTCATAGTGACCCTGAGCTGGAGGTTTAATGCTCTGCAGCTGCAGTCTTGACATTCTCCTGACTTTATCTTAGGATCTGTGTCTTTTAAGGGAAGCCCAACAGGATGATGAACTGCACCACAGGCTGACAGCATTGGTTGCTGTGGTCCTGTTTACCGCCATCTCCCACCCCCACTGGGTGGGTCATTGCCACCTGCGCCTGGTGGGGCCTGGGTACAGAAAATGTTGGGGTTAGGTATGTGTGGTGGAGCATGGTGGCAGCTGTCACCATCCCCAGCTGGCAGCTGCATAGCCTGTTCAGTGGGCAATCAGAGAGGAACAAACTTCTGCCCTTCCCTGATCCAGGAACCTGGTGCATCCTGGCATGGAGGGTGCACTACCCTTGGGGGTCACCCATCCACCTTGTCCCTGGGAAGAACAGACACCTGACTGGACTTCCCTTCCCTAATTGGATTGTACCACATTGGCCCAGTGGCTGTCTGGAGAGAGAACCTAACAACTTGTAGGTCCCTGGCTCACTTACTAGTAGGGTCCCTGTGTACTGGGGGGAGGGGGCTGCAGGCCCCCTGCAGGTGCTCTCATGACATACAATGACTAGCCACCAACAACAACAAGCCATGACACACATAATGGAGTGAACATACTTAATGTCACTGCAGTGTACATTGAAAAGTGGTTAAAATGGCTCATGGGTTATGCAGACTTTCCCACTACAGAAATGTACTTATAAGGTGCTTTTTTAAAAAAAGGAAAGTCCACCGGGACAGGTGGAGAGAGGTGGCAGGAAGGAAAACATTGATTTGCTACTTATGGTGCCTGTCCTGGGTGCTTTGTTCCTCCTTTTGGAACAAGGGGTCTCATGTTCTTACTATGCACTGAGTCCCACAAATGAGGTAGCCAGGCCTGTCTGTTGACCCCTTTGGAAATCTACCAAGGCTTGGCCTTTTAAGGGGCCCGCCCTCCAGTCCTCTGAGGAAGCTCTGAGCTGAGTAGACACTTACCTGTCTCCGCTTCCCCCCCAACAGGTATCGTGTTGGCTGTGTGCCAAGCCCTGGAGAACAGCACGTCCCCCCTGAGCGGTGAGTACAGCCTCCCCAGGATGCAGACAGGGTGTGGCGGGTGGAGCGTGGCCACCGTGGGCCTGCGTCCTCACCAGAGGAGCTCCCTTCCTGGACTCCTGCCCGTGCGCACCTGCCTGTCCCCTTTCTGTGTCCTCTCTTGTCCTCATCTCGGGCAGAGGGACGCTCACAGGACAGTCATCACTGCAGGCTGCAGGGGTCTCTCTCCCCCCGCTGCAGGCAGATGTGCCAGGAAGAGGGCTAGGGGCCCGGGAGCTCAGGACCAGCTCTCGCCCCCCCATCACATTCCCAAGCCCCTGTGCCCTTCTTCTTACTGTTCTGTGCTGAGTAGTTTTCTGGTTTGTGTTTTGAAATGGGTAGTCATCATTTCATTTTTAAAAAATCTTAGATCAGCACTTTGGAAAGCACGGGAAGTGTAGGAGGCAAACCCTCGCGTTCTGAGGCAGATTTGTGCCTTGCTGTGGTCCTTTGTGCCCGTGTGTTCATGGGTTGATGAGTCCCAGTGATTTTGATCCCTGTTTTATAAACTCAGGGGTTGGGGTTAGACATTTTTCCATGTTGTGGGAAAGTCCTGAAATCAATCCTTTTAAACTGTTCCAATGTTCCACTAAAATGGGCCTGTGGGGTTTCATGGAGCATCCCCAGTGGATATTGATGGGGTTTCCTGTGTCTTAAATTATGATGCTACACCTCTTCCCACCTAGAAGCTTTTTCTTCTTTTGGATTCTTTCTGAGGCTCTGTCTCTAAGAATAAGAGTACATGCATTTATGACTCTTGCTATTAAGTGCCAAATGGCTTTCCACGTGAACTGTGCTGATTTTTACCAGCAGTACATGAGTGTTCCAGCCTCACCGTTCCCTTGTTAACAGGGTACATTTCCCTGACTACTTCCCCATGCTACTGCAGTGTCCCTCTAGTAATTTCGGGGGCCCCCAGTGGGAGGTGATGTTTCTTAGGTATTTATAAATTCTCTAACCACCTGCACAGCGTCTCTGGTAACTTGCTCTTCACCTCCTCTAGACCTTTCCATCCAAACCCATTGGAGGTGATACTGCCAACCCCACAGTCCCCTTTTGGCACTGCTATCTTTGATGCATTGGAACCCTTGGGGTACTCACACCACTCAGTGACCCATGCTGAACCAGAAGGAAATGGCTCTCCTGTGTAGTGCTTTAATCAAGATGGAGAAGGAGAAGGAGGTGAATGTGTCCATCCCAAAACCGTGCTTCTGGACTCCAGGGTCTGCCAGAGTTTCCATGAAGCATTTCTTTGACTTTTAATTACCTCCCTCACCACCAAGGGGTCTAATGGGAACATATGGGGGAAAGAGAGGATAGCTTAGTGATTCCACTGCAGGTTCTCGGAATTGCCTCATCCCTCATCCTGGGATACATTTACTCCAAGAGCATCAGCCCCTCCTACAGATAGACCTCTGGTCACCTGCCTAAACAGTAGAAAGTACTGATATCACTTACATTTGATAGAACCTCATACTAAGCCACCTAGGGGCTACTATCAGTTCTGATCTTGCCACTTATTTCAAGGCTTCTGGATGGCCTGAGATGCTTCCTGTGTTTGCCATGCCCTTCCTGAACCCTTCTTGACCTTGAAGGGTTGAAGTGAGGCATAAAGACCTTGAGGTTGGACCAGATGGGTTGGATGGAGGCCTGTGCCCTGGGTCTCCATCCCTCATTCCCCAGCTCTCTCTGCAACACCTCCTGGTCCTCATTGTAGGACCTCGTAGGCCAAGAGCCAGGTTCTAAGTTATTTTCAGGTAACAATAGAATGATGGTAAATGCTGATGTTGCCATCCATGGGGAAGGGTACGCTCTGGGTTGTTATCCATTCTTCAAGTCTCCATCCATTCATCCAGACAAGAAGAGCCTGAGGAATGTCATCTTTGAGCCTGTTCATTGCTTCTACCTGGGCTCTTTGGGCTTTCCTAGGTCCTTCTGGGCACACCTGATACATTGATCCAGAAAACGACTATCCTCACCAGAACAGTGGCCAACCTCTCTGTTCCACCTTTATTTTCTGGGTTTCCTCCCATGAGAATGTCTCTGAGGTTTGTTCTTCCTCATTGCGATATCAGAAAACACCAGCCAAGCTGGTCATGGCTGCACATGACTATGTGATAGACTGAGTGCCACTCTTGAGTCCGGAGGTGGCAGGTGAGGGCAGAAGCAGGATGCATTCAACATTCAGAGAACCCTGAGCCCCAGAGCTGGCCCCTGTGCACAGGGGAGGGGCTGCCTGTCTGGCTTCTCAGTCACTGTCTGTTGGATGGGGCACTTAGCCCCAGGACTGGCACCCCCAGTGTCTTAGAGATCAATGACATAGCTCTGTCCACTTCTACTTTCTGCCTGGTACCATGGAACCCAGCCATGAGTCAGGAGGGGGCTGGACCAAGAGACAAATCTAAATAGGGATGATGACATCATTGTCACCCCTCCAAAGGCCGGGTTTGGTAGCTAAATGGGAATTGTTTGCTTTACTTTCTCTTTCTTTGGGCCTGATGGATCTTCCTACTCCATCCCACCCCTTCCCACTCCACTCTGACCTCACAAGACAAGGCTGAAATCCTGTGTGGGTAAAGCTCAAACTGGGGACCAACACCCACCAGCCACACTTACAACTACCTGGTACTGGAGTGATCATGTGTGTGTGTACATGCATGTGTGTTTAACTCTTGGCTGATTTAAGAAGTGAAGCTCTTAGCATTGTATTGTAGACGTCTTCCTCCTCAGAAGAAGACAAGTAGTCGTGAAGTCTATCACCATCTATGATCACCACCCTTCCACAACTAGCACCCCTCTGCCATTGTTCTTTTATCTACCTACCTCTGTTTGTTTTTCCCTTTGGAAATTTGGGTATTTTAAAGCAAAGTCCATTTCACTTGTGAACACTTCAATATGTGTCTTGACAGATAAGGACTTTTAAGCACAAAACTGTAGTTTCATGACCATGCCAACAGAAGCAACACTGATTCCTTTCATCAGATCCTTAACATGGAGGATAGAGGAGACTGTACTTAGTTTTGTGCTTTTTGATTTTTCATCTGCATTTTCTTGGCATCTGTGGATTTGGGTGTCCACAGGGTCAGGGGATGTCTTTTCACTCTGTGGACTGGAATGAGAAGCCATAGGGATGTAAGATAGAGTCTGATACATTCTTGACTGACAGCGCTGGAGCCAGAGGGCCATAGGAGTACTCAGGGGGAGGCCCAGCCATTAGGGGAGCGTGGTGGAGAGAAAATGGCAAGCTCTGTGTGCCAGTCAAGGTTGGTAATGGGGCTCTAAGAAACAGGGACTGATCTCATGTATCTTTCTTCTGCATTTTGGGGAGGAAAAAAAAATCTGACGTTTTTATTTGACAGTTGCCCTGGGTCTTTCTCTGTGAGATTTCCCTTCTTCCTGCCTCTTGGGTCCCCAAATATTGAGGGGAAATGATACCAGAGGCATAAAGAACTGGATCATCATCAGCATGTTCAGACATTTGCTTTTGTTGGGACAGTGGAAGGCAAGGGGCCTTAGGTTGGAGGCCCAGAACTTGGTGTTTGGGCCCACATGGTTCCAGACTTTTTAGGTCCCTGACCAAGTCGTTATTCATCAGGTGGCTGTTTGGATTTGTTTCCTCAACTGTTGGATTTAGGATTGGCTTTTAAGATTCTTCCCCTGACACTGATGGATTGGTAGAGAGGACTTGGAGAGCTGGGTTGGGAGGGATTATAAGGCTGTCTTCAGGTTTTCAGGAAGTCCTGAGGTGATCAGTTGATGGTACCCACCGAGGACTCAGAGAAGTAGTAATGTGACCACCACCTACAGTTGGCCCTCTGTGTCCTGAGGTTCCACATCATCAACCAACCACAGATCAAAAATATCTGGGAAAAAATTGCATCCCTCCTGAACATGTACAAGCTTTTTGAATGTTGCTATTCCCTAAACTATTAATAGAGTGTAACAACTATTTACATAGCATTAACATAATAGTAAGCATGATAAGCAATCGAGGGATGATTTTTAAAGTCTACAGGAGACATTCGTAGGTTATACGCAAATCCTATGCCACTCTATATAAGGGACTTGAGCATCTGTGGATTGGGGTGTCCACAGGGTCAGGGGATGTGCTAGAACCCATCCTTCAGGGATATCAAGTAGTGACTATTTGATTCTCTTGGAACTGGACGCTGCTGTACATTCACATTTTAACCCTCTAAGGGCTGGAATCATGTGAAAAGAAGCAGGCTCTCTCCAGGCACCCACTCCACAGGTGATCCAAGAGCAGGGGAACTTACAACAGGAGCATCTTTACGACATGAGCAGCTTGGCTGACCACTTAGATGTGATTTAGGAAATACTTGCTGTGGGAGTTAAATCAATAGTCTGGGGTCTGGGACAGAACATTTTTATCTGGTTGGTTGTCAACTTGCAGAGCATAGAAAGAAACATGAGCTGGAGGCAGCCAAGGGTGGCAGCACCCACAGCTCAGAACACCTGCCACGCCCTCCCAAGGAAGGAGTTACGACCTATCTTCAAAAGGTGCTTTTTAATGCCCCTTAAAAGGGACAGAATGCACCCTGGTTAAGAAGTTGCTGGGTAGCTGCTTGCTTAACCCTCAGAAATGTTGTCTGGTTCCCAAGCCACCCATCTGGTTTTCATATTTTCATGAGACTCCCTCTGGTGACCGAGGGGGTGTGGTGAGGGCCCTGCTCAGGGCGCTCAGGAGCCAGGCTGCAAGCTTCCCACTGCCATCTGCCTGGCAAGATCTGCTTACATACTCGAGGCGACTTCTGCCCTTTCCTCTAGCCTGTGTCTAATGATGCCCATCTGGAATCGGGGCATGTTTGAGGGCTTGCCTAATTTAGTGTCTGGGAGGCTTTTTAGAGATGATGATAGAACATGGAAAATTCAGTGGGGTTATTCAGGGAGAATGTCACCACCATCAGCTCAGGTGGGGGGATGGTGGTCGGATCTTGGTGGGACCCAGGGCTTAAATGTCA